CATAACTATGATGTTAGATTCTTGAAAATCTTCAAGGCATCTCCAAGTGTTCTTGAGTTAACCACTTCCATTCTTCAACAATCATCTACTGAAATCACTTAAGGTGAGTTCATACCCCTACATTTTCATGTTTTCTCAAGTTTTTAAAGGGGGGGGGGGGGAATACAAGTTAAAACACCAAGAACATAACTAAAATTTTCTAACAGCCTTCATCAGAAACGTTCAACTCCATTCACGGACTGTTTTGGGCATCTTAAACATTTTTGTTTTCAAAATTATACAAGGTGAAAATAGTTCAAGTTCTTAGCTTTAAAATGAATACTTGCACATCTCCATACGACTTTTCTACAATTTATGGTGATTTTTACAAAACTGCCTATCATTTCAAACAACAATCCGGACCAGTCTGTGATTATGGACTTTTTCACCCAAGTTGGAGGTCATTAAAAATCGTGATAAAAAAATATGAGTAAACTAGACACATTTTTTGAACTCTCAGATTTTACGGATCTAGTTTTCGACTTCGTATGATTTTTCTATGATTTTTCCAAAACAGGGCAGAATGGCTAAAGTTAGCCAACAACATATAAATATCATAACACTTTGTATTATGTTGAGCAAAGTGTATAATCATAAGTTCTAATTATTGAATGTGTTTCTTTGTTAGTTTATCATCATGAACTGAAACTAAGTCATTCATAATAAATATTATTCATTCATTTTAGAACACATATATTAAACTATAAAAAGTATAGTTTAATAAATTCATAACACTAATACATTTCCATAAAAGAGTTCTTACATATTACAAACGTTTTAGATAAACTATAATAGGTATAGTTTATGATATATTGTATAACACACTCGTACTAAAAGAGTACATTCATACAGAAAAGGTTTACACTCACACACATTATACGTAAACTTGTTACCCTAAATTGTGAGACATTCTCTCTTTCCGTACGTCCGAGTGCGGAATATAATTCCTGGTAGTTATAATCAGAGTCTCCTGGAGGGGGAACGTGATACTTGTATATAGATCTATATTGGGTTTGACACCCCACACCTTGCTTCTAGCTACAGTGGGACCTGCAGGTCTACGGATGACAAATGTCATTTCATTTTCGCGACGCCTGAGAAACGTCGTGGCAGGTTCACATAGTCATAGTATGATTATAGCGACTCACATAGGGAGATAACAATTCATAAAGTTTACGGGATTTCATAAAACCTAAGTAGGTTTTAGGTTGATTTAAATTCACTTTTTATATCAATTCAAACTCATGACATTTCCACTAAGTAAGAATGATTTCTTATACATTTTGGTCTTTGGTTATAAGGCTACATTATACGGATTTTAAGGAAAATATCGGATTTTTCTAAAACAAATGCGACATTTACATGAGAAAGACTTCTATTAAGTTTTATAGCAAAAACTTATGAACTCACCAACCTTTGTGTTGACACTTTTCAAACAACTTGTATTCTCAGGAAATCACTAAACAGGTAATCAAGTGCTTTTGAGGATGGGACGTTAAGGCGTCAAACTTTTCATATTTTGTCAACATATTGTAATTGATTTTGAAACATGTAATTCATACAAGTGATGTAACTTTTTCAATTATATATATATATATATATATATATATGTTGGTTGTGTTTGCTTAAATTACTATTGAAATTGTGGTTATGATACTATACATGAAGTCCTCCACCCCCGGACGTTTCTGCCATCCTTGGTTTGGGGTGTGACACAAACTTTCCATTAAGTGCTTAATCGGTTAAGCCAGTAAGTCCGATTCTTAGATCTAATCCTAAATGATGTCTTAACATGTAAAATTGGCAACTTTAATCCTTTAAATGTCTTAATGGGACCCAATACTCAATAAAACCCATAATAAGAACTCTAACTCATGCATGGTCCAATATAACTCATCAAGATTGCAATATTTATGAATATGTAACATCCAAAATTCTGGTATGTCTTGAAACCCTAAGGAATGATAATTTTTCATAATTGGTCCATTAAGTATGTTGGGCGTACTTAAGTGTACGCTTAGTGTACTGCATGGTTGTGGTCGTGGAGGAATTAGGGTACGCTGGGCGTACCGTGAGTTACGCGGGGCGTACGCGCCAGGGACACAAAACCCTAAATCCCGGACTTGAGGCCTATTTAAACATCTTTAAGTCCCTTGGACTAAACCCCAGAGAGCCTCCCCAGCTATAGAACGTTAATATACTTCTGGAAACCTTGTGAGATCATTCTTGAGCCTTAAAGAGTGCATTTATGGCCTTTTAGTGTGTATTTCAAGAAGAAGGGGTGGTCAAGCAAGCTTGGGTCAAGTGGGTGCTTCAAGATCCTGCACTAAAATCATCTTGCAAAGCTTCTAAAGGTAAAAAGCTTGCATCTTTCCTTTCTAATCTTTAGATCTAGCTAGGGTTTTGGTGGTTTGTCCCTTTGTTGAACTTTGGACCTCTTTTGTTGAGCTAAGCCTCCCCATTTGATTTGAGAAGCAGATCTGAGGTCCCTTAGTCATTTAGAAGTATAAAAACGGAAGCTTGATGAGAGATTTGACCTCATTCATGGGTAAAAGACCTTGGAAAAGTCTTAATGGAGTAATTGGGTGTGTTTGAGACATGCAAGGGCATAAAGTTGCCAACTTTATGCCTTAGGACATCTTGTTGGACTTAGATCTAGCTTTTGGACGTGAAAGATTCGAGCGTTAAGCACTTTATGGAAAAAGTGCTTAAAATGGTTGTACGCTGGGTGTAAATGGCTGTACGCGACGCGTAATCCCTAAGCCTTCACTACGTTGTGCGTACCAGGGTGGTATGCTGGGTGTACGCAACTCAATTGGGTCCTAAGCTGTTTTCGGCCTTTGGGCCTCATTTGGTTATTGGGCTTGATTGGATTCTGCGAGTTAGAGGCCCTTTCATCTATTTGGGCCGGGGATTTATCGGTTGGGCCTTATTGGGCTAAGGGGCCCATTAAGGATGTTGGACTTGGACTTTAGGTCCCATTTGCAAGAAAAGGGTAATTGGATCTTGGGGGTAGAATTGGAAGGTTGGGCCTTTCCTGGAATAATTTAAGGTCTTATCATTGATTATATTATTATTGTTATTATTCAGCTCGGGTGGTTGCGAACTATTAGGAGGACAATATTTGTATTCATCGGACAGAGGTGAGTCTTCTCACCATACCTATGGGTCTACGGCACCAAGGTCGGCCCATTATGTGATCATGTTATGTGTGTGTTATTCGTTTATGAATTGATATGTTATGTGATATTATGTTGATATGGAAGACCCAGGGGAAGCCCGTGGTATTGGATATAAGACCATCCGGGGTAGCTCATGACATTCCTAGGTAAAGACCATGTGGGGTAGCCCATGAGATTGGATGTAAGGCTATGTGGAGTAGCCCATGGCAGTCATAGGTAAAGATCATGTGGGGTAGCCCATGACATTCTTGATGGATCATATTGCATGGTTTTTGTGGCATGTTTATAGCTTTATTAGCTAACAGGATATGTGTATATGAATGTGTGTGGTATGCTCTGGGAAACTTACTAAGCATTTCACTTACAGGTTGTTGATTTGTTTCAGGTACTTCTGAGCCCAAGAGCAAGGGCAAGGCATGATGACGTGGTGCGCATACTATCTATCTTTTTAATGTATTTGTGACCCTTTGATGTTTTAAAAAGGAAAATAATGATGTAATGAATGTTATTTTGAAAACATATGGTTTATGAGATTGGTTTTGATTAACTCAAAAATAAAATTTTTTCTTTGTAAAATTGGGTCATTACATAATAAGGGACCTAAAAATGCTAAGTTCTGCCACCCCTAGCTTCTAGAGTAGCTCATACTCTCAAGCATGGCTTAAAGGACCATAAAAAAACATAAAAACTAACCCTAACTAGATGTGTCAAAAGAACCATCAAGTTAAGAGCTTTATACCTCAAAAAAATTTCCAAGTTGGTGATGATTATGGATTCACAAGCTCTAGCCACACTAGTGCAACTTCCAAGAGTTCTTCCTCCTTCAAGATCACCAAAACACCTTCAAAGTTCACTTCAAAGCTCAAAACACTCAAAAGGAAATTAGGGTTTCATTCTTAGGGTTTAGAGAGGTGGAGGTTGGTCACAAGAAGGTCCACAAATGTCTTAAGGTGTTTAAATAAGGCGCAAACCCTAAAAATTAGGGTTTGCCCTTGTTGGCCGTACGCCCAACGTACTCCTAGTGTACACCTAACGTATTCAACTAGGGACCAAAATGCCAATGTTTTTAAGTTTAAAGGTTAAAAGGAGAAATACATAGAATGCAAATGTTACATGTTAAGATGTGGGCGATTTACCAAAGGTTAATGAATGATGGTATCTAGGTGGAATGAGGGTTTATTTACGATAATCATGGAGACGATCAATGTTTTGAGGTGAGGGCTGAGATGGCTAATTGTTACGGTGAAGTTTTAGATAAATGAAGGTTGGAATGGTTGAGTTTTCTGGCGATACTAGGTGAGGGTGATGTTTGTGTGAGTGAGATCATAACATGGAGAAGGAGAGCGGTGTGATGGTGGATATTTTTCGGTGAGAAAAATAGAGATCGACGACTATATATTTGGGGGCAATAAAATTAATATAGTATTCATAGACAATACAAACAAGGAGAGAACATGAGAGAGTAGAGGGAGAGAAAAGATAAATAAATAGGTGGGTGGAGGTTAGATGAGGTGACATTTCTTTTATTTTTATATTATTAGAAAAAATAATTTGGTAAAAAAAATCAAAAAGGATAATTCAATAAAGTTGTATGGATCAAGAACCCCATGTATTTTCTTCAAAACGTGAATGATCTTTTTAAAAAAAATTTAAAAGTTGGATCAAACTTGTGGAATAAACCAAACCACATGGACCATTTATGTAGTTTACTCAAAGATAAAATGAGAATGAAGTATTAATAGTAAAAATGTTAAATAAATATAAACCAAACAACTTATATTTGAAATCAATAAATACTTTAGTTTATGTTTTATTGCAAGGTCGTAGAGATGCCGTGGTGCCTGAATAAACCGGTGTGGTTAACCACCTACCGTCCAATCAATATTCTGAATTAATTTCCTCCGGCCCGTCGCCTCCTCCCATCATCGCCATCACCCACAAATACAATCTTCCTTTCACATCAATCCCACCCACTCCTCCCTTCAACTCAAGTTTATTCTCTAAATCAGTGGTCTGTAGACCCCACTTTCTATCTCTATATATCTTATCCCTTTTCTCCGTCAAACCCGCCTTTCTGTCTTTTAATTTTCTTTCATTTGCCAAACTTTCCCCTTTTTTTCGAAGACATTAATCCAATCGGAAACTAGACAAGAAATTCTCACAAATCTGATTTTGATCCTGTGCTACTGTTTACTCCCTACTTGAAATGCTACAAGAATTTGGCTGAATTGAAGAAAGAAATAGTTGAAGAGTGTAGAGATGGTGGTGAGGAAAGTTGGCAAATATGAGGTTGGGAGGACGATCGGTGAAGGAACCTTCGCGAAGGTCAAGTTTGCTCAGAATACAGAGACTGGTGAAAGTGTTGCTATGAAACTCCTCGATCGAGCTACCATAATCAAGCACAAGATGGTCGACCAGGTGAATTTCTTCTTCTCTGTATCATTATACCTGTTTGTGGTTCATTTGATACGCTGATCTGAAAATTAGGTTAAAATGAGTCAATTGTAGCTGTTAATGATGATGTTACTTTCAGTTATATAATTACATTGCATGATTAGTCTTTGGCTAAAGATTTGAAGTTTTGATTAGGGTTTTGATCTGCTTTTTGGTACGTCGGCATACAGAGGTATAGCTCTCCAGAAAATCATTGGAATTCTACTGGACTACTTTTTAGATACGATATAGCTATGGCTTTCTTAATTTCAGAAAAAAACTTAGTAACTACAATGAATTTAGTAAGTGCTACAAATAAACAAAGCTGTTGCCAAATAGTAATACTCTTACTTTGAGAGTGAAAACCTCATGGGAGAAGGGGGACGAAGTTTCTGCTTTGAAAAGAAAAATCAAAACCATATTCGTTATGGAAGAAGGCTATAGCTGCATTCATAGTGTTGGAAACATTCTTTATGACTGACATGTTTTTGTACACAGTTGATGACATGCAATATAACCTAAGACTTGTGATACCGCATAAGCTATAAACTTTAAGCATACATATACCAGTGCACAATATTTACTTGGTTTCAACAATTAACCTCTTTCATAATCTTAAAAGCTCCCTTAAAATTTATTCTTATAATTGCATGCAGATCAAGAGAGAGATATCAATCATGAAGCTGGTTAGACATCCCAATGTTGTTCGGCTGCATGAGGCATGATCTGATAATCCAGGCTATATAAGCTGTTGTTAGTTTAACTTTTTGAAAGAATCATCATCAAGTCTGTTTACTAATGTTAAATTTTGGTTTAGGTGCTAGCAAGCCGCACAAAAATATACATCATTTTGGAATTTATCACAGGGGGTGAGCTTTTTGATAAAATTGTAAGTCTCCATTCTCCAAGCAAGGTGAAATGGATGTATTTTGGTATTATCCCTGGGCTCATAAATCTAACGCATGTTGACCAGGTCCACCATGGACGCCTCAGTGAAGCAGAATCTAGAAGATTCTTTCAGCAGCTGATTGATGGTGTAGAGTATTGCCATAGTAAAGGAGTATATCACAGAGATCTGAAGGTGTTGGGTACTTTTCAGGTCATCATCTTCAGTGGATTCTCAACATTTTGTTTTACCTCTTACTTTCCTTTTGCAGCCTGAAAATCTTTTGTTAGATTCCCAAGGAAATTTAAAGATTTCAGATTTTGGACTCAGTGCATTGCCTGCAGAGGTAAGATTTGGAATACATTCTTTTAGTATCATCCATCAGAATCATCATCCTATTAATTTATGTATTTGCAGGGTGTCAGTATCCTTCGAACAACCTGTGGAACTCCCAACTATGTTGCACCAGAGGTAATTAAAGGTGCAACTTATCCTTATTATTATTTTTATTTATTCTTTTTGGTAGTGTTACCTACATGCATATTTACCATTGCTTCATTCTTTGTTGATGGTGTGGTTTGTTAGGTACTGAGTCACAAAGGTTACAATGGTGCTTTGGCTGATGTATGGTCATGTGGGGTCATCCTATATGTACTGATGGCTGGATACCTCCCATTTGATGAAATGGATCTCACCACATTGTATAATAAGGCATGTCAAGTTTATTGTTATTATTATTATTATCATTATCATTATCTGTCTTGTTGGATTTTGTTTACCAAGGTAGAATAATTTTGGTTGGTTGTTTGTGCAGATCGATAAAGCTGAGTTTTCATGCCCGTCATTTTTCCCAGTAGGGGCAAAATCGTTAATTCATCGGATTTTAGATCCAAATCCTGACACTGTGAGCATTGCATCTTGCATGATGTTGGTTAGTAAATGGTGTGACTAGTGTTAGTTAATGATGTGATGGTTATTATGTGCAGCGTATTGGTATTGAAGAAATAAGGAATGATGAATGGTTCAAAAAGAATTATGTCCCTGCTAGAGTTGTTGAGTATGAAGATGTTAATCTGGATGATGTAAATGCTGTTTTTGATGACTCAGAGGTAAAAGCCAAAACCTATTCTATAACTTGTTTGTCAATTTCATATTCATATTATGGCAACACAAACAAACAATGAAATGCTTAACAGCTGCATATCATGTATCATGTATCATGTATGATGTATGATGTATGTATGTAGGAAGAGGGAGGTGGTGATGAGCAACAAACAGATGAAGATGCATGTCCTCTGTCTCTTAATGCATTCGATATGATAATCCTGTCTCAGGGATTAAACCTGTCTTCCATGTTTGACCGTGGTCAGGTTTGAATTCTGTCTACCCCACCCCACCCACAAATCTTAAATGCATGCATGCAAATTGTGTTTCAAAATTGTATGTTGAAACGAACGTTTTAAACAGTAAATTGATATCGGTTTTTGAAATTAGGAATTAAGAAAATGAAATCTATGTGAAAAGTATATGCTTGCTTGCGTTTGACAGGACCCTGTGACGCACATAACTCGGTTTGTTTCTCAAAAACCCGCAAAGATTGTGTTATCAAGTATGGAAGTTGTTGCTCAGTCAATGGGTTTCAAGACACACATTCGAAATTACAAGGTTACACACACACAAACACACATACTATCTTCACAGTTTACATACAAATGGATTATTAATGATCAATAACAATGAATGGGCCGTACAATCTATAGGGAAGGAGGAAATGCTTATTTTCTTTTTTATTATATTATTTTCAGATGAGAGTAGAAGGGCTTTCTGCTAGTAAGAAGTCCCATTTTTCTGTTATCTTGGAAGTGAGTTTTTCATCTTAATTACTTAGGGATATATATATATATATATATATATATATATATATATATATATATATATATATATATATATATATATATATATATATATATATATATATATATATATATATCAAGAAAGCAAGTAATGAATTGTTGAAAGCAGGTTTTTCAGGTGACCTCCAATTTTGTGATGGTTGACATTCAGAAAGCAGCAGGAGATGGTGCTGAATACCTTAAGGTGCTTCTTCTTTTATTAATTTTAAGGGAGTATTTTTCATTTTCTTCTTATCTTAAATCTTAAATAATAATATAATATTGGTGGCTGCATGCAGTTTTACAAGAATTTCTGTAACAATCTTGAAGATATTGTCTGGAAACCACCTAACGAACAACAACAACAACAACATGGGAAATCCAAGATCACCAAAACAAAGAGCAAACGCCGTTAGATCCGTTGGTTAGTGGTTACTCATCATCAATTTCTTTCTTTCTTTCTTTCTTTCTTTAAACTATCTTATCTTATCTTTAAGTTAAGTTAAGTTTGATTGATTACACATATTATTATTATTATTAATTGGTTCAAAAATTTCCTTGTTACAGGAGAGGCCAGGCCAACACTGTTGTAGCTACACCCATCTCTTTCTACCTCCAAAAGAATGTAAAAGATCAATTCGTGGTTGATTTACATTTGTTGTAGACTTTGGTAATTTTTTTTTTTTTTTTTTTTTCTTTTTACCTAGAGCGTGCTAATGAATGAGATAGAATACAATACATGGTATGGTATTGTATTCTTTTGTTTGAGAAATAAATAATAATACCAAATGAAGTAGCTAGGTAATGCATTTTATTTTGTATAACTACGAACTAGTTTTTGGCTTTATTCACTCTTTCTTTTTCTACTCCAAATTAACACCAACTCTCCCTTCCCTTCTTTTAACAACTAACAAATACTTGCATATATATAACAACAAAAGTAGTGGCAAATCATTTAAAAAAATCCACAAACAATTTGAATTTGAAGCACCAAAATTTGACCTAAAAACTCTTGTTCACATAAACTCATCTCTTAGTAGACAACATAACATAATAATAAACTACATATTGTTCAAAACCTAAAGCTTGACGAGCACCTGGTCAGCAGAACGTTTCTTGACAACACCTCTGGAACACAAGTCATTAAGCAGCTCTAAAGCTTCCTGAGCTAAGCCTTCATGAGCCAAACCTTCTATCAAAATGGTATAAGTGGCTTCTGTAGGCTTACACCCCTTCCCAACCATATACCCCAAAAAGTCAATGGCCCGGTCAGTTTCTCTAGCCTTACAAAGCCCCAACATCACCGCATTATAAGTCAACACATTCGGTCTCACCCCCAACTTTTCCAAATCATAAACAAATTTGATGGCTTCTTCCACTTTCCCTTCCCTACTCAACCCGCTTACAACCGATGAATACGTGATTATATCCGGTTGCAGCCCTTTCTCCTTCATCTCATCAATCAACATTATCGCACGACTCGTTTTCCCAATCTTTGACAACCCATCAATCACAGTGTTGTAAGTAATCAAAACAGGTGAACACCCTTCAAAACTCAAATGGTTTAGAATCTCCACAGCAAAATCAACCTTCCCATCTTTACACAAAGCCGTGAGCAAAGTGTTGTAAGTCACAATATCCGGATAACATCCGCGAGACACCATCACTTCCAAATACTCAATCGCTCGATCCATCTTCTTTTCTTTACAAAAACCATGTAACAAAGGGTTATAACTCAGAGAGTTCGGGGTGCATCCATGTTTAGGCATCTTCTCCAAGATGTCAATCGCACGCCCTAACAGCCCTCTTCTACACAAAAAGTTTATCAAGATGTTGAAAGTCACAACACTTGGAGAACACCCTTTTCGAAGCATGTCACCCACAAATTTCTCAGCATCCATCCATTTACCCATGCTACACATGCTTCGTAAGATGATGTTGTGTGTGACGACATTAGGCTGGCAACCTGTAGATGGCATATTGTTTAAGAACTTGATAGCATCATCTAATCTGCCTTCTTTACAGAAGCCATTGATAAGGACATTGTAAGTCACCACATCCGGCTTACAACCTTTTGTTTTCATTTCATCTAAAAGCTTCATTGCTTGTCCTACACCACTCATCTTACACGCAGCTTCTATCAAGATCGTGTAGGTGATGACATCCGGGTAGCATTGCTTCTGCATCTGTCTATCAAGAACTACCATTGCTTGGTCTAGTTTTCCTTTATCGCATAAAGAACGTAAGATTGTGTTGTATGTGACGACATCAGGTGCTACAGACATTTTATCAAACACGTTGAGTGCTTTATCGATCTCACCTGCTCTACAATAACCACTGATTAAAACGTTGTAAGTTATGACATCTGGTACAGCTCCGGATTCTTCAAGAATCTCCATAACCCTAGTCGCTTTTCTTGTCTTTCCTGTTCGGCAAAACCCTCGAATCAAACTCGTACATGGAATGATGTCTGGGATGTCACCTCTATAAGCCATGTTCTCTAAATACTTAAATCCTTCCTCCAATTCACCATTCCTAATCAGTCTTCTGAGATGGTTATTATTCTCAAACTCCTCGAAGTTCCTTCTGGTATTAACCTCGTTAATCCCGTTCAATTTCAAGGCTTTCTCCCCATTCACAGCCTTCCCATTCGGAGTAAATGTTTCCGACTTTGAAATGGCCGACACCCTTTTAATCTTTTTACTCAAAAACCCATTTTTATCATTCAGTTTACCATGAATTCCAGTAGCTAAAACAACCGAATTACGAACCCTAACTCTACGATTCCTAAAGGTTTTTGTATGGACACATTGAAAGGAACAAAACCCGTCATGGGTTTGCTTTATGGACACAACTGACTCCATATTTTACTTTAGACCATAAACTTGTGGTTACACGCTTCTAACGGATGATTTAATGGAAAACGATGAGATTATTGACTGTCCGTATCAAGAGCAGAACGGTGTACACAAAGAAGAAGAGAGCTTACTGGTTTTTTGCAGATGGAAGAACACTGAAGAAGGTGCCGCCTAAATTTTCTTATCCGAATTTGTCGAGTGAAATGTCTCACGACCTGTTTATCACTTTATAGCTTTATGTTCAAAAAATGTAGGTGTTTATGGGCCTGTGATCCAACAGCAACACTGTTATGGGCCTGTTTTATCACTCTACTGCTTTAATAGTTTAATTAATGATTAGCGACTTCGAGTCTACTTGTTATATCAATTTAGTGACACAAAAATTAAATAAATACGACTTGCAATGTTTTTACAATGATAAGAACAATGAAGCAAAACCTTAGAAAATAGTTTACTTTGTATTTTTATTTGTGCTACTTTTTTAAAGTCTTACTATAAATGTTGATACCTCAAGATACACAGAACCAAATCTATTATTTGCAAAAATAATCAAAGTCTTAAAGCTCATAATTTTAAAGCTAATTCTGTTAATTATATATGTATTTATTGGGTTATAAAAACAAGTTAGAGCTTGACACGGTAGTAAAACCGTTAGTTTATCAAACTAAGTGTCTTATGCTTAGAACCCCAAATTGGTTGAGCCGTCTCTGACGATAGGAACCTAATGGTTAAGGACTTAACTTGCGAAATTTCATCTATGGTTGATCTCCCACATAAACCTTTCACATGAACCGTTCATATGTACGATATATCATTTTTTTTATTATAAATGTGGATAATGAAGTTATTGTGAAAACATAGCCAATGCTTTAGAGTTTAAATTTAACCAACAAGACCAATACTTTTCTTAAAAGCAAGTTTTAAATCTACACGAATCCACGACCTTATTACAAGAGGAATTAGAAATTAAACGAGGTTAGCAAAATACTTTCAACTTTTGTCTCAAGCAGCGAATTAGAAATTAATATGGCTTCTATTTTATTTAGCAAATATGTCTATTGAAGAATTACAAAAATCTCTATATTTTGTCTTCATGGATAAAAATTGAAACACAATTTACAGTTCTCATCATCATGACCCTTAATTATTAATCGTCCAAGATTTATTTATTTATTTTTTGTAAGTGGCAAGGTAATACGAGCATGAGGTGTGCATGCGCTTATCTAAAGGATTACTAGGATATATATATATATATATATATATATATATATATATATATATATATATATATATATATATATAATATATATATATATATATATATATATATATGAAAAAGTGAATATACCCTTAAAGGTATATAAGTTTAGGTACCCAAACTCACTATACTACATCGTTTTGTATCATATAATATGTTCTAATTATTGAATGTTCTTATAATTTAATTTCCAACTTGATTTACTTCCAAGATTTTTATAATTTACACATTTATCTTCCTCTTACATAATTTCCATTTTCAACTACAATATATATAGCCTAGTAGGTATTCAACAAAAAGATGTGATGTAAGAGAATGATAATAGTGAAATGTCGAATATCTTGAAAGAAAATCAAGTTAGGGTTGTAGTTTAACAATATTATAATTAATATATCAAACAAAACGACGTATTATGGTGTGTTTGGGTACCTAAGCTTATATACTCTTAAGAGTATATTCACTTTTCCCATATATATATATATATATATATATATATATATATATATATATATATATATATATATATATACTACCTTATAAAAGAAATCTTACTATTTCTATCAATAAAATCAATACCATAATAATATTTTTTAATACGTTCAAGTTTTTAAGCTTAAAGTACAACCAACTATAAATATAATAATATTATCTTACAAGTGATAATCCTAGGGATATAAGTATTAAAAACACATTTAAATTAGTATTTCCTTATTTTTAGGGATTGAATTAGTATTTTTCATAAATTTTGACACAACTTGTACTTCTAAAATATATTTTCTCTGGTATTTGGTGCATTCGAAATCTGAAACACTTCTTTTCGACAAATCGTTTGAAATTTAAAAGCTCATTCAAATTGGAGTTCCCTAATTTTTTTTGCATAAAATATAGTTGATTGGAGACTAATTCAAATCTTCATCTCCTTTTCCTCCATGGAATCCACCACCATAATATTTTTTGGTTTTGACATTGCATTTTTTATTTTTGTGAAACCGATCGATAATGGTGCAAATGTTCTTAGAAATATAACATGTCTCCGAATGGAACTAATTGCTTGAAAGAAACTATTCGCCGCTGCCGCTTTGCACGGGCAAACGGCTAGTGTGTGTGTGTGTGTGTATATATATATATATATAATAGTTTTATGCTTTTGTATTTGGTTTCATTTTTTTCTTTATAAATATAATTGATTGGAGTTAAATAAGTGTTTGGATATTATTTCGGGGTTAATTTGAAGAAAAACAAAAAAATTACGAATTAAATAAAAAACCTTTATTTTTCAATTTGATCTTGTTATGATAGTGATTTTTCCTGAATTGTCGCACGCCTTTCCATTCATATAAATACTAATATTACATGGTCTGAATACAAAGAATGGGCTAGCTATACAAAAACTAAATGAGCTATGTAGCCAGCTTGTCTCAGCAACAAAATTCACAACAACACGATACTCCGCTTTGACACTAGACTGAAAGATGGTAGTTTGTCGCTTTGAAGATCATGAGAGGAGATTCTGATCAAGAAACAAATAGTAGCCGGACGTGGAGCGATTAACCTTGTGAGGGAGACACGTATAGCTGAATTTCATGATCGAGA